CACATTCTTAAGTGCCACTGTGCTGTCAGAGATCTGTTGTTACTAATGAGGCAATTAGTTGTTGAAGAGATGGGGAAATGGCAGAATTTTTATTAAAATTGGGAGCAGAAAATAGGGTCAATAAAGTGCACAAGTGACAAATGTTTGTAAGTGAATGTGAACTTAAGGTGAACTTCTCTAGGCCTTTGAAATGACTGTTAAGAAAATTCTAGATTTGATATCACAAAATCTGTGAAATGCCTCTAGGTATGGGGATGATAAGCATGTAATCTTTAACTCAAATAGGTATGGTTCAATTTTCTCACTCATATTTGGGTACACCCTAGTTGTTTCATCAATAACTATTGCATTGAATGATTACTCTGTTCTTTTAATTCATATGTAATGGTTGCACATTTTTATGGAATAGGATGTAATATTTCATTGCATGTGAACAGTGGGAAGAGATCAAGTAATTGTCATTTACATTTCATTACCTTTTTAAATATTTGTTAGAAGGACAGAATAACAGAGACAAGAGAGATTTAGAGAGCTTGCATCTACTGGTTTACTTCCCACCCAAATGCTCTAAGCATCTGTGGTGGAGCCAGACCAGTGCCAGGAGCCAGGAACTCCCTCCATTTCTCCCTTGAGGTTGAGCAGTACTCCAAGCTTTAGCCCATCACATGCTGCTTCTCAGACAGTTTTCAGGATGCCAGTTTGAAAGCCCAAAGCAAGGACTCAAAGAAGTACTCTGGCATGGAATACAGGCCTCCCAGCTGATGCCTGAACTCATTGGGCCATAATCCCCACTCAAATCCTCATCTCAGAATGTAATTATTTGCTTATTGTTTTGAGTCTCTCTGTGTAGAAGGAAATTAACTCTGGGTAGCTTTGTTTGAACATCTTGGGGTCTTCTCTGCCCTATTTTAAAAATTGACTTTCAGAACTTTCTCATAATTTTTTGAGAAATGCCTGGTTATAAAGAGATAACCCCTATCCAGAATAGCAAAGCAGTTTTCCCATATTTGAGAGTTTTTAATGTGGAGGAAGAAACTAGTCCATGTGGTCTCTTTTGTTTTATTGGCAGTTCACCCTCTGATATGTCAATACAATAGTGGCCCAATTTCTATAGTTTTATCCTTTATACTATAGCCCTAGTATGTGTTCTTCAAAATCATAGCTCTCCTTGTGTTTGTAAATCATAGGAAAATTTTTATTGTAGTTTTGTCTAGAATGATAATGAAATTTCAGTTTACTTTGGGACTGTATGAGATTTTGTAAAATGGTTTATTCAGAGATAGATTTTCTGTTTGCTAGTTCGCTCTGGAAATGGCAGCAATGGCCTGGGTTGGGCCAGGCCACAGCCAGGAGCCTGCAACTGTGTAGATCTCCCATGTGGGTGGCAGATGTTTAGTACTTGGGAGCTGGATGGGAAGCTCAGCAAGCAGTACTCAAACCATTGCTCAAATAGGATGCCATTGTTGCAAGGGGCCTTACCTGCTGAGCCACAATAGCAACTCTGTGTGAGAATTTTTTGTAAATCTGATAGAGGGAGAGAGAGAGAGAGAGAGAGAGAGAGAGAGAGATTGAGAGAGAAACAATTGCTAAGCACTGGATTATTCCCTGAGTGTCTACAACAGCTCATACATTGGCCAAGCTGAAGCCAGGGGCAAGACCTCAAACTGGATCTCCCAAGTAGGTGATAGGGACTCAGCTGCTTGAGCCATCATCACCTGATGCCTCACAGGGATGCACATTTAGTAGCAAGAAACTATCATCAGGAGCAGAGTTGGACCCCAAACTCAGGTGTTCCAGTATGGGTATGGGCATCCCAAGCAGCATCTGAGCCATTAAATTAAGTGCATTCTCATGAGATTGTTTTGATGTTAATATTCCTGCACATAGATACATTTTTCTATTATTTAGATGTACTTTAATTTTCTCAGATATTTCATAATTATCTCCCAATAGGGCATAAAAATCTTCTGTGAAATTTTTCTTATATTTCATATATTTTTCAGTATTATAAATGTATTAAACCTCATTTTATAAAGTATAAGAATAGAATTGATTTTCAATAATTGTTAATAAATTTGATATTTTAACTACATGTTTTAAAATTCTTTTAGATTCTCTATTTTATTGAAGTCTTCCATTCAGAGAAGTTCTATTTCTTCTTTTCCAATTAACTTTCATTTGTTTTTCCTTTAAAAAAATTTTTATTTTATTATTTTATGATGTTAAATAAAAATTATGATATTGGACATCATTTTCTGTTAAATCTGAAATGTTTTGTAGTTTTTTTAATGATCTTTATCAGATAGGTTTTGATGCCTATTTTATTTCCTTTTTGTGGATTTGGAATTTTTTTGTGCCACAAAGTTGTTGCAGGGTTTATTGGAGGGAAAATATTTCTGGTAACTAATGAAATTACCAAATATAATTTTCTTTACTGTACTGGAGAAATTTTTCTTTTTTAAAGATTTATTTTTATTTTACTCGAAAGCATTAAAGACAGGGAGAGTCAAATGAAGAGTGAGATCTTCCATTTGTTGGTTTATGGCTTAATGACCTTCGTGGTCTGGGCTGGACCAGCCTGAAACCAGGAGCCAGGAACGCTATCTAGGTCTCCCATTTGTTTGGCAGGGACCCAAGCAGTTGGGCCATCTTCTGCTTACCCAGATGTGTTAACAGGGAGCTGGCTGAAACTGGAGCAGCTGGAACTAGAATTGATGCTCAGATAGAATACCAGCGTTGAAAGAGGTGGCTTAGCCCTTGGCTCTACAATGTCAGCCCAATGTTAGAGAGTTTTCCTAAAAAATGCTGATCTATGCTTGTAATTCCTGGCATAGTTGCAATTTGGTTAGGATGTGTTGTGTCATGTTCCTTCTTGCTATTTTATTGAGGGCTTTTGCAACTATTTATGTGAGATTGGCCTCTATGTTTTCATTACTTAGAATAAAAATGTTCATTTTGGTAGAAATACTAGATTTATAATTTAAGATGAGGGCCATTCCCTCTTTATTCATTCTTTGGGAGAACTTGAATATATTTAATTCTTTGGATATTTGGTATAATTCCCTGTAAATTTCTTCTGTGTGTGGGTAAGGACAGAGGAGCTGGAGTATAATTTTAGTTTTGGTTTAATTTAATGACAGTAGGAATATTTTAATCTTTTGTTCCGATAAGGAATAATAGCCTTATTGAGTTAAAATTTAAGCATATAATTTCATGATTTTTAATTTATTTACAGAGTTGCTCATTCTTGCCACATGGTATCTGAGAAACCATTGTTTAATCCAAGATAAAAAATATTCACACTCATTTTTTCTGTTAGCTTTTATAGTTAGGTTTTTGTGCATTTTTATTTAATTTTTTAATGTGATGTTAGGTAGCAGCTCGCCTTTAGTCTTTTGCATGTGATATCCGTTTGTCCCAGCACAATTTGTTGAAGAGTACTGTTTTCTCCCCTTTTGTTTTGGGAGTCTTATCAACATAATTAACCGCAAATGTGTGGGTTAATTTTTTAAAGATTTATTTACTTTTATTGGAAAGTCAGATAGAGAGGATGAGAGACAGAGAGGAAGATCTTTTGTCTGCTAATTTACTCCCCAAGAGGCTCCAACAGCCAGAGCTGGGCTGATCTGAAGCCAGGAGCCAGAAGCTCTTTTGGGTCTCCCATGCAGGTGCAGGGTCCCAAGGCTTTGGAGCTGTCCTTGACTACTTTCCCAGGCCACAAGCAGAGAGCTGGATGGGAAACAGAGCCCCTAGAACATGAACCGGTGCCCATATGGGTTGATTTTTTAGACTCTTAATTCTTTTTTAAAAATTATTTGAAAAACAGGGAGAGAGTCTAATATGACTGCAATTTTTTTGTTTGTTTGTTTGAGCAACTGGATGAGTAGAGTTGTGACTGAGTGTTGAAGAAGTAAGATAACAATTCACGGAGGTCTGCTTTATAGAGCCTTGGAAAGTCTTAATAACTATTGCGCTCCTCCCTAGAAATTGGCTTTGATTATTTGTCTGTATTTAATGAAAGTTACAAATTATGTTGCTGATTGCATGGCTGATAGAAGTACTGCATTTGTGTTCTTTGTAGCATGTATATAAGTATCGAAAACATGTGATGATTTTGTTGACCTCATGCACATTTGTCCATTTTTTGTCTTTCCTTATGCACTTAATTTTTTCTCTTATATGCTAAGTATCTTTATATACCTCCTTAAAAGTCCTTTTAGAGCAGCAGGATTTAAGTAATAGAAGTAAACTGATTACATTATGTGTCACCAAAAAGAAGATATGTTTGTCTTAGCAGGATGGGGGGAGATTGTATTAACAAAATCTGTTACAATTTAAAAATAGGATAGCATCTTTAACTATAAATGTTGTGTTCCTTTTGAGTTGCCACAATTTTGTGTCATCCATTCATCAATATTTAATGTTTACTGTGTGTCAGGTTCTGTTGAGGGCACTTGATACATCAGAAAATGAGCACTACCATCATTGAGTTTGAATTCTATTAGGGCAGGTACTGACAGAATATAGCACATGGAGTCGTTTAGTAAATTATATGCTGCAAGATAATATATGCTGTTGAGAAAAAAGCAAGAATAATCAGGGAGAGTGGAGATGAAGGGAGCCTGATAGGGAGGTTACAACATTAAATCAAGTGGTCTGCCTGGGTCACATTGAGAAAACCTGAAGGAGGTGAGGGAGGAGCATGGCACCAGAGGGAACAACACATAGAAGTCCTGAAATGGTGCATGATTGGCAGGCTTAAGGAACCAAATGAGTGACAAAGGTTGTGGCAAATGCAGAGAGGTACTGAAGAAAAGGAGCACTTTGCATAGGGCCTTATGAACTGTTAAGACTTGAACCTTTTTCTGAAGTAAAGAGGACGCTGTCATAGAGTTCCAGGTATAAGAATGGCAATCATTTGACTTATATTTTGAAAGGGGCACACTGGGTACTATGCATAACTTTGTCAAAGAGGTTAATGATTATTTCTGCCATTTCAGGTATATTACAGCTAACACTGACACAGAAGAACCGAGTTTTCCTGTCTCTAAGGCGCTTAACGCACATGTAGAGGAATTAAGTCTAGATGTCCTTCTTCAGAAGGTAGATAATTTACGTTTGAATGAGTCTGGGAAGCTGGAGAGTTTTGAACTACTTTGTGACCACAAAGAAAAGGTAGGAGATACGCTACAACCTGTTTGTATAGCCTCATGAGGTGTCATGCTTTTGGGCATCTCCAAGACGTTGAGGGAAATGCAGCTTATTAATAAAAACAAAACAAAAAGAAAAAACTTTCTTTTTTGTATCAAAGTACTTCTATTTTTGTGAACTTATTGAAATACCCTCAAATTGATTCATTTTAACATCTAAATAAAACCCTGTATTAGAATCTTTTCTAAAAAAGAATTCTCTGTTGGCAAGGCAACAGAGGAGGAGCAGAAGAGACAGAAATCTCCCATTCACTGATTCACTTCCCAAATGGCTGCAACAGCCTGAGCTAGGCCATACAGAAGCCAGGATCCAATGATACTATCCTGGTTTCTCACTTGGTTTCCCACTTGAGTTGTGGGGGTGCAAGAGCTTTAGCCATCTTCCAGTGCCTTCACTGGACTCTACATAGAAAGTGGAACAGAGGGGCTTAAGCTAGCACTCCACTGCAAGTGGAAGCTTTACCTGCTGTGCCGCAATGATAACTCCTAAGACACATTTCTTAGCTGTGAATATTTGGATTTGAAATGTTGCATATATAAATATGGGTAGGTATATACTCATTTTTTTAATTATTTTATGATACAATTCCATTGGCTCTGGGATTTCTTCTCTCCTCTCCCTAAATCTCCTTCCCCCACTGATTTCCCCTGTATTATTACAGTAGTGTAGTCCTTCCTAAGCAGGCATAAGTCCGTCATTCTGTTATTTAAGTGTATCCTGACGTTGTACGTATGGACAATGACAGAGAAGTTCAACATCCTATAATCAAGATATATTTAAGAGTTTCACTGGGAATCCATCTTTGATTTGGAAGTAGAGATGCATACTGCATTATATTCATACCTGGATATGATAGTCTCTATTACACAGTTACTATACATCTGCTTAAATGAAAAACCACAAAGCAAATCATTTATCACTGTCAGTGCATCTCCCTAAGTTTCAGCATATTGCAGTGCATACCAGTTACGGTCTAGACAAGTTACCCAATTAACTCATATGCAATTGTATCTTTTCAGTTTAGAGATGAAGTAGAATTTATGTGGCGGTTTGCTCGTGGTTATGGAGATATGTATGAGCTGTCTACACATTCAAAAGAAAAGAAACATTATGCCAATATTGGTAAGCATTTTTAAAAGTGATCAATGATCAACCAATAGTGTGTTTTAATTAAAGTTTAATTATCTTAGCTAACCATTGGGTTTAGTCTATTGCAATATATCCCAGTAACAAAGAAAATACATACAGTCTCATAAAAGAAAATATTTTTATGACTAAAATGTTTGTTCTTTAAAAGTAATGGGCAATGCTAGAATAGGCAATTAAAAAAACTGAGATTTTATATTTTAAATTTTATAAAATCACAGAAGATAAGGCTAATTTAAGTGGCAGTGTTTCAGAAACAAAGCAGAGACAGTTGCTTCCAGCAATAGCTCCCACAGTTGATAACAAACAACACACGTTATGGTTTGTGTATAGAACTCTAAGTAACACAAAAAGAGAAATATCCTCTCGGAGTTCAGTTAATATGTTTTATCAAAATCTGCTTTTTAATTTTTATTAATATAGAGAAAAAATTTCATATATTTCTTAGGGACACATCTAAAAGATAATAATAGTTCCTCTCTCTTCCTTCCTCCTTCATTCTCTTATTCCCTCCCTTCCTTATTTTTCATTAATTTTTGCACACATAACTTTAATATATTCTATAATCACATGCTTAATTCACTATTAACAATAGCATTCAACGAATAACAGGTATAAAACCACAGTTCCACAGAAGTATAAATAAGGTTAAAATCAAGAATCTATCACAAAATGCCTGTTTTTTCCTATAAAAATTTTTTGTATTCTATATTAACTACCACATATCAGAGAAAATATATTTGTCTTTTTAAGACTGCATTTTTTCCTCTAAACACTGTTTTCCCCTTGTATCACTTTATTGTAAAAGATAGGATTGATTTTTCATGTCTAAATAGTATGTGATATTCTATAGTGTATACTTACTAGGTAGGACACAAAGATTAGCTACTCCTCACTAAGGCATTGAAGATTTCTCTGCATACCCCTCCTAAAACTGTTCTGCACTTCAGCTGTTGACTGATGCCTTGATAGAGTTATAAGCCAGTTTAGACTATTCCAAAATCTGCCAAGTTCAGCAAAACTAAGCTTCAACACTATAAACTGCTGAATGCTAGAATGAAAATAGTCACGAGACAGCTGGATAGTACCCTATAGCCATTTTGAGGTGTATAGCAGCTGGTTCTCTGTCTAAACCAAAATTGAAATGTCAGTGAAATAGTCAGAGGATTGTTACTCAATACCATGTCAGTTAATTCCATAATGTTGTAAATTGATGTTGATGTTATGTTGTGGCTTTTAATTGATCGGGATGATATTCTGCCAGCTCTGCTTTCAGACCAGAGATGGTATCCCCAAGAAACTGTTGAATTTACCTGGAGAATAAGATGCTGGACTCTGTGCTTGCAATGAAAGAATCTTAACTGAACTTGAACTGTAATATTGCAACAGGGTGGAGGAATCCACCATGGGCAGAGGGTATGGGGAGGGGTTGGGGGAAATCCCGGAGCCTATGAGACAGTGTCACATAGTGCAATGTAATCAATAAAAAATAATATAACAAAAAAAATAGTATGTAGTATTCTATAGTGTATATGTACCACATTTTATTAATTTGTTATCATTTGATAGACATCTGGGTTGATTCTCTACCTTTGCTGTTGTGAATTGAGCTCCTGTAAACATAAGGGTACAGATAACTCTTTCATATATACTGACTTCAGTTTGCTTTGGTGAATTCCCAAGACCGAAATGGCTAGGATAAATGGTAGATCTATTTTCAGGTTTCTAAAAATCTCCATACTGTCTTCCATAGTAGTTATGCTAGTTTAAATTCCCACCAGTAGTGGGTTAGGATACTTTTTTAAATCTATATCCTTACCAGCATTTATAGTTTTTTGATATTTAAATGATAGTCATTCTAACTGGGTTGAGGACAAACCTCATTATAATTTTTATTCGCATTTTCCTGAGCCTGACCATTTTTTTTTCTTGTCTATGGCAATTTGAATTTCATCCTTTGAAGAATAGTTGTTGGTATTATATACCCATTTCATAACCAGATTGTTCTTGTGGTTGAGTTTCTTGAGTTCTTTATGAATCCTGGCTACTATCCTTTATCAGTTGCATAGTTTACAAATATTTTTCCTATTCTGTATGTCGTCTCTTTACTTCGTTGAATGTTTCTTTTGCAGTGCCAGTTCTGTAAGCAGTTCTGCCTGCTACACCATGGCACAGGCTTCTAGGCATCTCTATTTTCTCTTTTTTTTTAAGATTTATTTTATTTTCATTAGAAAGGCAGATATACAGAGAGGAGAGACAGAGAGGAAGATCTTCCATCCGATGATTCACTCCCCAAGTGAGTGCAATGGCCAATGCTATGCTGATCCGAAGCCAGGAGCCTCTTCCGGGTCTCCCACACGGGTGCAGGGTCCCAAAGCCTTGGGCCGTCCTCAACTTCCTTCCTGGGCCACAGGCAGGGAGCTGGAAGGGAAGCGGGGCTGCCAGGATTAGAACCGGCGCCCATATGGGATCCTGGTGCGTGCAAGGCGAGGACCTTAACCATTGCATCACCACGCCAGGCCCAAGGCATCTCTATTTTTGTGTCAGTGCCAGACACAAAAATTTTTTTGATTATAATTGTCCTGTAATATGTCTTAGAAACCTGGTGTTGTGATGCTTCTAAATTTATTTTTGTTATTTAAGATTGCTTGAGCTATTCAGGGTCTCTTGCGTTTATTAATTTTAGCATAGTTATTTTCTAAAATGTCATTGGTGTTTTAATTTAGATCCCGTTTTTGAAAGTTTCTTTGGATACTATGGACATTTTGTTTATGCTAATTCTTCCAAACCACAAGCATGAAAGATTTTTTTCCCATTTTCTTTGTGTCTTCTATTTCCGTCTTTAGTATTTCTTACTTTTCATTGTAGAAATCTTTCACATAATTGATTAAATTTATTCCAAGGTGCTTAGATTTTCCATAGTTATTGTGAATGAGACTGATCCTACAATGTTTTCCCAGTCATGGGATTGTTTACATATATAAGGGTTATTGGTTTCTTTGTATTGATTTCATATCCTATAATTTTACTAAACTCTCTTATGAGTTCCTGATGGAGTATTTTGGGTCTCCTAAGCATAATCATATTTGCTGCAAATATAGGTAATTTGACTTCCTGCTTTCCAATTTGTATCCCTTTAGTTGCTTTTTCTTTTTTGTTGGCTTCGGCTAAAATTCCCAGAATTATATTGAATAGCAGTGGTGTAAGTGGACATCCGTGTCTGGTTACAGATCTTAATGGAAATGCTCCCAACGTTTTCCCAGTCAGTATGATGCTGGTTGTAAGTCTGTCACATGTTGCCTTGATTGTGTTGAGGACTGTTCCTTCTATATCCCATTAACTTAAGGCTTTTACCATGAAAGGATGTTGTATTTTATAGAATGCTTTCTCTGCACTCACTGAGATGATCATATGGTTTTTATTCTTTAATCTGTTAATGTAATGTGGCACATTTACTGATTTGTATATTTCAGAACATTCTTACATAACAGGGACAAATCCCACTTGGTCCTGGTGAATGAGTTTTCGAGTGTGTTGTTGGATTTCATTAGTATTTTATTGAGGACTTTGTGTCTAATGAATAAAAGACACTGATCTGTAGTTCTCTCTCTTTGTTGTATCTTTTCCTAGTTGTGGGATTAATGTGATACCAGCGTCATAGAATGAGTTCGGTAGATGCCATTTCAGTTGTTTGGAATAGTTTGCAAATAATTGGGATTAGGTCTTTAAAAGTTTGGCAGAATTTGGCAGTGAAGTCATGTGGTCCTTGGCTCTTCTTTGTTTGGGAGGGTCTTTAGTACTGATTCAATCTGCACTGTGGTTATTGGTCTGTTTAGGTTTTCTATACCTTCATGACTCAATTTTAGTAAATTGCATGATTTTCTTTATCCTTTTTCTTTTTTATTAGTATTATCTTTATTATCATTTCATGATAAGAGTTCCACAGGCCTTGGGATTTCCCTACCCTAATCCCTCCCCACCTCATTGAGTTCTCCCATATCATTACAACAGCCTTGCTCCTCACAGACAATTTTAAGTCCATCATTGCGGGCATGGACAATGGCAGAGAATCCAGCATCCCATTGTCAAGACACATCCAACAGTTTCACTGGGAGTCCATCCTTGATCCGGAAGTAGAGATGTGCTCTGCACCATGTCCTCACGTCTGGACATGTCATTCTCCACTACACAGTCACTATACATCCCCCCCAAGTGAAAAGCCACAAAACAAAACCAACTACAGGAAGAAAAACAAATTTACAATACCATGAAATTAAATAGCATGCTACTGAGTGACCAACATGTCACTGAAGAAATGAAAAAGAAAATCAAGAACCTTCTTAAAGAAAATAATGCTACTGGGCTCGGCATGGTAGCCTGGCAGCTAAAGTTCTCACCTTGAACACACTGGGATCCCATTTGGGTGCCAGTTCTAATCCCAGTAACCCTGCTTCCCATCCACCTCCCTGTTGATGGCCTGAGAAAGCAGTTGAGGATGGCCCAAGGCCTTGAGAGCCTGCACCTGTGTGGGAGACCCGAAAGAGGCTCCAGGCTCCTGGTTTTGGATTGGCTTAAAAATTACTATAAAAATGTTACTGACCCTGTTTCTTGTGAATGTGTAAACAAGAACTTCTCAGGGAAGCCATTCTTACTCCTATAGACATTTGCTTGCCTTTCATGCTCTTTTTTTTTTTAACCTCTTATTTTTTCCATTATTTATCTCTATACTTGCTATAAACTGGACTGTGAACTGTTGGAGGTCAAGAACTATGTCTTATTTGACATTTTGTTCCTAGATATTCACAGAATTATGGAAGGTATTAGACACTCAGTAAATAAAGTTCGATTTGAATACTAAAAGAAACAATTTCTGTTATGCTTTCAAATAACTATTGAATGACGTTTCCATCATTTGTTTAAATTAGTGGGTCTCATACATCAGAAAACTCATTCAAACACAAGTTGCTAGGCCCCACCTCCCAAGTTTGTGATGGAGGAGCTTTCCCAATGGCTGAAACGTTGCTGTTCTAAGAAATTTACAGATGATTTGAGGCTACTGCAGAGTCCTAGGACCATACTTTTAGGAGTCACTGAGCTCAGTCATTCACCTGCTACAAGTTCTCATAAAGGCACTAACTGTAAGTGCATTTATCTTGCAGGAAGAACTGTGGGTGAAAGAGCTGTTTCCAGAGCTCCTATGAATGGATATTGTCATTTGTGGTGAGTATGTATGAGGGACATACTTTTTTCAATTCCAGTAAGCTTCCTTATTAAGTATGATGGATTTTTTTAGATGCAGTTTGTACACTTAACAGTCATGTTCACTGAAAAACTTAGTGTAACTTATTTGTTTATGTTATCTATTTTAATTATGTACATTTTAATATATTTAAATGTGCATTGATGATTTTGTAAATGAATATGACAAGTCTAGTGGTTTTGAAAATGATAAATTATACTTGAAAACCCTTAATGAAGTGATGCCGTGTTTCCAAACAAAATTTAGAAAGAGTATGAATAAAAGCACATGTCAGGCATTTCTTATAACTGGATGAGTCATGGTATACAAATTCCCTAGATCAAGGAGAAGCTGTTTATACTCTTAAAAAAACTCATAGAAACAGAATCTGATAAGGTGCATATCTTTGAAGCAAAAAAAAAAAGTGTTTTGGTTTTAGAACTCTTTGTATAGTCAAAACTATACAACACAAGAAATATATTGTTTTTATTATTATTATTATTCATTTTACTTAAAACTGCATTTTACGCTAATTTTTAATTTCTCACCTTTTTCAGTCCTGCAGTGCAAGTATCTTAGATGCTAAGAAGCTAATTAATTAACTTATACCCCTTTCCTCAGCCCTAGATTTCTAGAAATCCACCCTCTCCCTTGGGGCTATTTTGTGCTGTTAGGGAAACTCTTAAGCAAAAGCTTTCTCAAAACAATTCCTTTCCCACAAATTTACATTGTACCACAGGAAACTCTGTTCTATTCCCCCAAACTCTCAAAGGCAGTTTTTTCCAAAGCCTACCAGTTTCTCTACTCGGACATCAGCAGGGGGAGCTCCATTCACAAACTCACCAGCAATCGAGTTGCCCAGTTAGTTGTCCATGAACCCTTAGGAGTACATGGCTGAAACATAAATAGGTTTCTGAAACTGCTGACACTTGGCTTCAGTGTGACACAAACCTAGTCGTAACCCTAACCCTCTCCCTCCCCAGCTCCAACCCTTGCAAAAATCACCGTCTCTTTCTCCAGTGAGTTCTTTGTCTTCTCTCCTTGTCGCTTGGAGATGGGTGAAGGGTGCTAGCAAAACAATTGAGTCTTTTCCTTAGCATGTCATGCACATATAGTGGAGCATCTTGCTTAGGGATTGGAATATCGTGTACATGACCCATTCGTCTGCACCCCTTGTGCTTCTGCCAGACCTTGGAACAGGGTAAATTTGTAGTTAACATCCTGACACAGATCTTTTAAATTGCTTCCCTCGTGTATAAGGACTTTAGCTATTGTTTCTATAACCAGAATTACCTAGATAACTAAATTTACGTAATACTAATAATAATACTAATAAATCAACTTCTTGCTTTCCACCTGTAACAGTACTGATACATATTTCTCTCTTCCTCTTCATTGATAAAGTGGAGCTGCTTGGAAGGTTGGCTAGCCAGACTGGACATAGGCAAAACACCCAAGTCCTACTCTGATCTCTGGTTTCTTCATGTTCCTCCTCCTTGTTTTCATCTTACCCTTCTCTTGCTCTTCACCAGTTGGTCTTTCTTTGCTATCCCCTTCCCTCTGGCCTAGAGGCATCTATGTCCATAAACGGTCCTGTTGAAAATTCACATCTGAGGTTAATCTTCCATTTGAAGGCATTTATCAGTGCGAGTTTCCAGGTTTTCATAAAGGAACGTGTTGAGTCTCCTCTAAGGGCATGTACCCACCTTGCTGTCCATTTGGTAAACAAAAAACAAGCTGAACGCTCCCTAGTATATTGCCCAGTCTGCCTTCCAATAATTGGACTACTTGTGTTGTTCATCTTTTTCCCTTTTTGTTGCAAACTAATGGCCTTGTTTATAGCCATGGAATTTAATTCCAGGATTAAGTCTTTTCACCACTCACAGAGTGGTGACCCAATTGTGTGTCACATGATTTCTTATTCACTAACAGTTTTTAATTTTTAAAAAATGTTGGGAAACACTTCAACAGAGGAATAATGGACTTATGACTGTTCTTGAAGGATTACCCATTGTAATACTAGAGGCAAAATCAGTAGGGTGAGGAAGGGACTTAGGAGGGAGACAGAAAATCCCAGAGCCTATAGAACTGTATCATAAAACAAGATTAAAAAATAATTAAAAAAATTTTTAGAAGTGGGAGCCTAATCAGCTTATGACACTCAATAAATCTGCAAATTAATTTAATCTTTAAGAATATGTTGTATCTGTTGTGCTAAACTCAATGACGTTTTTATTCAGTAAGTAGTAGAAATTTAAGAACATGAAAAAATATTTAAACTTTAACTCAAATGATTCAGGTAAAATTATTTCATAACTAATCATTAGTGTAATGTCAAGAAAAGCTCTCTTGTGTGCTGGAAGCTTTTTCACCATGGCCAGGTGTTAAACATTTTCCTATTCAGGTGACATGAAAGACAGACTGTGGCCTGCTTCCTGTTTTTTGTAAATAAAGTTTTATTGGAGCACAGCCATACCTATGCATTTGTGCACAGCAAGAGATATAAGTAATTGTAAAAGACATTGTCTGGTCCAAAAGCCTAAATAAAATATTTGCCACTTGGCTGTTATGATCACATGATTGTGGAAAAGCCTTTGTTTCAAGTTAAAGCAAAAGTTGTGATCTTCAAGTATAGTTTTCGTAAAGGGGAGTATTTGGGGAATGATTGAAAAACAAATAGCATTTAATTAAAGGTATTTAAATACTTAGTTTTCACCCATATCTTTTCCCAAATGAACTTGCTTTATAATTTTGAGGCTACAAATGCTTTCTATAAGATTATGGGGTTTGTTGTCATGTTCATCTAAAACGCTTGGAATCAAAAGAATAACAAGTCACTAGTGAATTTGCAATTTGTCCAGATAGGCCTGACCTTAATTATAAATAATGTCTTACAGAATTGTTGTGCTCTACTGTTTTCAAATTATATCCACATGTTTTACTGTGCTCAACTAGTAGACAGGGTAATGTGTGCACATTGTGCGTGTGTGTTGGAGTGTTGGTTAGTAATCAGGTCCTGCAATAAGTGGAGAAACAGAAAGTAGAACTTAAATCTTATAATCTTTTATGCTCTTGTATGTAGTTCTATCTTCTCACAGTGTAAATAGCATTTGGGCTGAACCAAAAATGCTGCAGGGAAACTGATGGATTTGTTTTAGCAACTGTTTCAATAGTATGCCTGTCAGTTTTTGAAGAAATATTGAGTATATTGTTCAGCAAAATAGCTACAAAAGTTTTGTCAGTGGAGCTGGCACCATGGCATACTGCACTAAGCCTCGGCCTGTAGTGACAACATCCCATGTGGGCGTTGGTTCATGTCCCAGCTCTCTATTTCTAATCTAATTCCCTGCTATGGCCTGGGAAAACAATGGAAGATGACTCAAGTTTTTGTCTCTCCATCTATATGGAAGACCCAAAAGAAGCTCCTGACTTTGGGTCAGTCAACTCCAAACATTGTGGCCATTTGGGGAGTAAACCAGCAGGTGGAAGACCTCTCTTTGCTTATCTCTGTAACTCTGCTTCTCAAATAATAAATAAATAAATCTTTTTTAAAAATCCTGGTAAGGCATAGAATGACCTCTAGATGGAGATAATATACCATGCTGTGAACTTTCTTTGGAGTTTGCATTGACTTGCATTTGAAAAATAAAGTGTTAAGTTATATTAATGAGCAATGTGAAATAATAATGCACAGACAGTGATGACCTTGTGGGAAAAAGTAACCAGCTGGTCTTTGAATTTATGATTTATAAGAAGATAAATAATATTTTAGACTTTAAAGGATTCTATTTACCACAAGAGTATGAAAGCCTTGATCTTCTGACAACTTATTTGAAAGACAAACATGCATATTTCTAAGCATTTGAAAACCGGGAGGATTTTTTTCTTTTTTTTTTCCCCTGGTTGTAACAGTGAAATGTAGAAGATATATTGCCCTGGCAGGTAAAAGTCTTGAGATGTGTATAAATGGCTCTTATTTTCAGAAGATAAAATCAGATTGATTTCACCACTCCAGACCAGTAAATATGGCATCTGTTCCTTTTGATTCTATCATATAGAGTTGGTTAAATTTGGGGACTTTCTAGGACAAGGAGTTTAAGTAATTAAAACCATAGATAATTCTAAAATTATGATGTGATCTAGTTTCAGTATCCCTGATGACAGACAGTTTGGGTAAGTTAGACTAGTGTATCTGATTTTAAGCCGTGCATTGCCGCAGGTGCACTCACCGTATCATTGTGGACAGCAGGCAGAAATGTGGGCGAGTTGGTGTCGTCCATGCTGGCTGCAGGGGTTAGCCTCAGTGATTTAGGAGATCATTGTCAGTCTGGAGCCTGATTTCTATCTTTGATAACGGTTATGTTCAGCAATTTTGTGAGGTGTTTAGAGGTATTTAAAATATGTCAAAATATTACAGTCAACATAAAAGAAGGAGAAATAGGTTATATGATGCATAACAGCATTCAAAAGCTCTTAACGTGGGAGAAATCTAAAAAGTGTGAACTGAGAAATATAGAAGTAGAGACAGAGAAAGGTGCCAAAAATGTCGCAGTGAGACAGGCATTTGTCGTAGCAATTAAGATGGCGCTTGATCAGTGTGCCAGAGTTTGAATCCTAGCACTACTATTTGTTCCAGCTTCCTGCGACTACATACCCCAAGGGGCAGCGTACAATACACAAACTCAAGTACTTGGGGACCCTGCCATCCAATGTTTTCCCCATATGGTTACAATAATATAATTCTTCAGCAACAGTCACAGGTCCATCATTCTTCTATTTAAGTATATCCTGACATTGCAGGTATAGACAGTGGTAGAAAGTCCTGCATCCTATTGTCAAGATATATTTAACAGGTTAATTGGGAGTCCATCTTTTATTTAGGAGTAGAGATGTATCTTCACTTCTCAATAAGCTAGTCTCTATCATGCAATTCTTCTAGATGAATATATGTGTATTTATGTTTACCTATATATCTGTTGCTCTTGTATTTTGTATGAAGGTTGCCTTATATCATAGAGAACATGAGTCTTGTTCTTTTGGGATTGGCGTAGTTCACTAAGCATAGTGGTCTGCAACTGGGACCATTTTATTGCAAATGATAGAATTTTATTCTTTTTAATGGCAGAATAGTACTCCATGGAGGTTGTGCATGTACATATGTACATGTGTGAACATGTAACTGGATTACATGTTCTTTCTTATATGCAGACTTTATTTCCTTAGATATATTTTCAGAAGTAGGGTACCTGGATCATACAGTAGATCAATTTTTGGTTGTCTTAGCATTCTCCATACTGACTTCCATAGTGGCTACGTTCCCACCAGTAGTGAAGGAGAGTATTTTTCTCAGCATATCCATGCCAGCAGGTATTGTTAGTAGATTTCCAAATAAATGTAGGCCAATCTCACTGGAGTTAGAATTTTAATATAGATTTTATTTGTGTTTTCCTAGTAGCTAGAGAGCCTGTGCCATCCTAGGTTGTTGTGTGTAAATGTGTAAACATAAAATACTTTCATAACTGGTTTTCTTTCTTTTTAAATTTTGTTGAAAGAAAGACCATGGAAATACTCTCTGATACTGAGATGTCATTCTGAGCAACCTAAGACATAAGTCCCTTCATATTAAATTGAAGAATTTCATAAAGTCGTAGCTATTTAAATTAATAATGCTTGTAAGTCATTCAGACAGTTTAAAGAATTAAGGGGAAGTCATATCAGAATCTGTATCTAAATCTGTAGACATGGATGCAGTGGCTTATCATGGCTTTATTGCTATTGTTAGTTTCTCCAGTCAAGTGAGAAAAGTAGACCCCCTGCTACCCTGTAATAAACTAAGTAAGATGAATGAATATTGAACAATTTCTTCCAGGGAGCCATTGCTTTGTAAAAGTTGAACTCCATCTGCTGATTTTCTAAGACCTGGCTTAGGAACATTGCAATTTAGGAGAACTGTTGTCATAGTGAGTAATCAGGCTATCATAATCTACATCATTGACTTGCATGTTTTGTGTTTGTCGCATCCCATTTCTACTGGGAGGCTCAATCTGCAATATTTGGATTATTGGTTCAGCAGATACCAGGAAAAGCAATTATTTGTAGTTATCAGAATATTATACAACTGTATATTGTTTATTGTAAACAATGGTCAATAATTTGTATTTCTTTTTAAAATAATTCTATTTGGAGGTGTTTTATTTCATATTTACATGTAAGTCATTGTTTTTGTCTTTTTAGGTATGCAGTTTTATGTGGCTATGTATCTGAATATGAAGGCTTACAAAACAAAATCAACTGTGGGTATTACTTCAAGGTATATTTTATATTAAAAATGTTCCAGTGTAAGTCTGTGCTTAATGAACAGGTGTAAATCAGTTTAATCACCAAATAGAACTCAAGAAATGTATCTTAATAATATGTAATAATCGAATTGTTATTGTTATTTCATCAATAGGAAGTGAAATAGTAATCCATAAATAGTGTTGTGACAAAGAAACAAACTCTTTGAGTGATTAAAGATGGTTATTACAGGACGTGAAAGAAGTCACATAGTAGATGCTTGTTATTTTTTTGAAGCTGGAGGATTATAACGGTTCAAAGATAAAGCCTTCAGGGTCCCTAATGACAGGAGCATCAGTTAGTTCCTTCCTGCTTTCTGGCTGCTTATACCCGTTTTGACGATGCCAGAGGGATAGATACTTCGCCCATCTAGCTCCTCCATTTTTTTTTTCCATTACACCCTGTTCCATGTTATTTGATGTTTATAAGCTTTCCTCTGAGTCAGTATTAATTAGGTAAATCATACAGAAGCAAACATTTGACTTAGGTTTTTCACTAATTTTTAAAGCAATATTTGGCTTTAAACTATTATGGAGCTTTATTGAGACATGATCACAGTTCTGGCTCTAGTTGTAAGCAGTCGCTTTTGCTATTGAAATACTGAGAAGAATTCATTGTACTAATGATAGGAATTGGGGGTGCTGAAATAGCACTGCGAAACTGCTTTGGAGCTACTAGGCTTTGCTGTAGTTCAAATCAATAGTATCTGAGAATTGGTAGATGACATTGCCTTTGGATTTTTTTCCAGGAACATCTGGATATAGCAATACAACTTCTGCCTGATGAACCCTTTTTATATTACCTCAAGGGAAGATATTGTTACACCGTAAGCTGAATGCCTTTATTTATATGTCTTACTTGAATATACTATGATTATGATACATCACCAATGATGTCTTTTGTCTCTACCCTGGACCTACTATTGTAGGAAAAATTATAAAATCAGTCTAAATTATATATATATAATGTTTTATGATTTTGCACAAATATATAATTTGTATATTATTTAAATGTACAATGTATATATTTTATCATATATCTATGTTCTTTAGCCATAGTCTCATTTTGTGGCTCTCTCTCCCTACATACACATTTAAATGACTAAAATTTAGCTGGAGCTCTCATATATTCTAATAGGAATATATAAGCAATAAATAAATACAGCAAAAAATGACATAGTGATGCCTAAGTTTATCAAGAGGAGCTGGAATTGGCACCAAAGGGGTAGTACCCTCTGCCTTGAGGGCTGGCATCCCATATAATCACTGGTTCTAGTCCCAGCTGCTCCACTTCTGACCCAACTCTCCTAATGTACCCAGGAAAGAGGATGGCCCAAGTGCCCAGGCCCCTGCACCCGTGTGGGAAGCCCGGAAGAAGCTCCAGGCTCCTGGCTTTGGCCTGGCCCAGCTCTGGCTGTTGTGATTATCTGGGGGAGTAAACCAGCAGCTGGGAAATCTTTATCTCTTCTCTCTCTGCAAATCTGCTTTTCAAATAAATATACATCTTCAAATAAAAAGTTTAAAAGAGAAATAAAATATACGTTCACTCAAAGGCTAAAATAGGAATTTCTTGGCCGTGTTGACAACATAGCAACATGGATGACTTTTCAATGTTATGCCAGAGAGGTTCACATAAGATGACATAATGTATAATTTTGTTGATATGAGAGTTTAGAAAAGGCCAGTTCTAGCCATCTGTCAGTAACGGCCTAGAGGCAGGGAAACAGAGTTGATTGCAAAGAGGCACACAGTGCTTTGGGATGGTATATATGATTGTTGCAGTCATTACATGTTTACATTTATCAAAGTTTATTTAGCTTATACATCTATAATGTGAGGAATTTTATTTTATGTAGATTGTACTCCACTAAAGCTGAGGAAATTATTATTTTTGCAAAGTCAAGGCCAATAAGAAATAAGCATATCAATAAGTAAAAGTATGTAGAAAAGCAAGGTTTATGTATTTATATATATTAAAGCAATATATATATGTATATATATATATGGCTATAGCTGATTTTCAAAACTTCAGTGCAAAAAATTGGAAATCCATGCCTAAATTTTTCATAACACAAGTTTTTAATGGGCTTTCTAAAGACCTCTCATATCCATGATGTGCAAAGATATTTTGCACTGGGGCTGGCATTGTGCGGAGTACGTTAAGCCTCCTGAGGTACCAGTATTCCATATGGGCAGCAGTTCTTGCCTCAGCTACTCCACTTCCAAACCAGCTCCCTGCTTATGGCCTGGGAAGACAATGGAGGATGATCCAAGTCCTTGGGACCCTGAACCCATGTGAGAAACCTGGAAGAGGCTCCTGGCTGCTGGCTTTAGCTTGGCTCAGCTCCAGTCATTGGGGGAATAATAAAACAAAATATAAATGATGTAAAATTTGGCTATGGTTGATTATTGGGCCTAAAACACAATTTCCTGGATTGTAGATACGTAAACAGGGTCCTCTGTTGCTGAGGAGGGTTTTGTTCACATATCTGAGATGCAGCATGGAGAAGGCAGGAGAGCAAAGGCAGGCTCCCCAGCTTCTACACACTCTGCAGTCATCCTGCAGTTGCAAGGACAGTGAACAAGTGTGACTGGCCATTTTTCTCTGCAATGCACCTTCTCTCTGATTCAGCGTCATCCTTCTGATAAATAGTTCAAGCTGGTTTTGAAGTCAGTGCTTCTGGAGCTTAGGATTGGTTAGAATTAAGGAACATGAGGGCAGAATATTAGTGAGGGCCCTGTCCGGCATGTGTAGTATCTATTACACAAGTTCCCACGCACTGACTTGTGTATGTGCACACACGATGGCTCGCTGGCAGACAATCGTTCAGAAGACAGACAGCTCCAAGCGTGATGTTGCTCTTCATTTACAGGTCTCAAAACTTAGCTGGATTGAGAAGAAAATGGCTGCCACTCTGTTTGGGAAAATCCCATCTTCCACTGTGCCCGAGGCTTTGCAGAACTTCCTGAAGGTAGGTTCTATCTCTGCTACATTAGCTTCAGCCTGGGTACCAGCTGTGTGAGTCCCTTGACCTTCACCTGGGTAGATCTCTAACTGAAGCCCCAATTTGAATCCTGCTGTCAATGTGTTCTACTTTAAGCCTTCACAGTGTATGTTATGTTTCAAATCTGAACTTCTTAGGACAGCCTATTAGAGCTTAGGGAGAACAAGCTGCTTTTTAAAAGTAAGTCAGCCACCTGTGTGCAGGTGTTTCACTCCCAGGCTCTGCAGCAGCCCTGCCAGTCAGAGGAGCATGTGCAGAGACTGTTAGAGGAGCTCCTCGTTCTAACAGAACCAGCTGAACATCAAGGCATTAAAAGATGATATCAGGAAGAGTTATTTTAAAAGCCACCTCCTACACTGCACACACTTTTGTGGAAGATTCCTGGGGCATCAGACCTAGTCAGTATTTTCACTCTTTTTTTTTTTTTCACTCATTTGTAATATGCTTTCAGGATCAGATTTGTAAAACCGATGGTTTATAAGTTTATCTAGTCTGGAAGTGGGCATTTGGCACAGCTGTTAAGACACTGGCTCAGGATATCTGCGTGTCATACTGAAGTGTCCTGCTTTGAGAGTTGGCACGGCTTCTGATCTCAGCTTCCCACTGCGACACATCTTGGGAGGTGGCAAGTGATGCCTCCTACAGCCGCATCACAGGGCCTGCATTGAGTTCTGGGCCCCTGGCCCTGTCACAGCTACGTGGACAATTGAGAAGCAAAACAAGGGATGGAAGAGCCCTGCCTTGGCACCTTCTCTCCTTCCCTCTCAAATAAGTAACAGCTAAGGAAAAATGTTTTTTTTTTTTTTTAATATAAAGATTACTTTGCTTAAGATGACAAGCAGGTTTGTCTCACTTTTTATCTCTGAGTAGTGGCCTACAAAGCCTAGCGTACTGTGTAAAACAGTATGTATTATGGTGCTCGTCCAACACAGAAGAATTTAGGAAGTATGAGTGCAGGGTCTTGCATTTCTTATTTTTCTTAATTTATTGTTACCTTTTTTTGTTTTATAAAAGTGAAATTAAGACCTCAGGAACTTATTTTGTCCAGTTTAACTCAATGCCAAAGATTTGTGTCATTCCTACCTCTTCACCACTTTTCTGCCACTGAGAATTAGTTCTCCCATTTGAAAATTTATAATACAATTCGAAGGCAGGAGCCCGGAACCTCTTTCAGGTCTCCCATGCAAGTATATGCTCCCAAAGCTTTGTACTATCATCTACTGCTTTCTCAAGCCACAGACAGAGGGAGTTGGATGGGAAGCAAGGCTGGTGGGATTAGGACCGGTGCCCATATGGGATCCTGGCATGTGCAAGATGAGAACTTGAGCCGCTAGGACTTTTACCATGCCGGGCCACCCCTAATTTTGTAATAGCATATTTTCATTTCATTTCACAATCACAGGCTTAACACTCCATTAGGTAAAGATATTAGCACAAGCAAGTAGAAAAAAGTTAACCTACTTTTCTTGAGAAGTATAGACAAAGACTGCACGCAGTAATCCAATCACATAATGTCAGTCTCATTATAGGTAATAAAATTTTTTTAACTTTGCTTGTTAGTTATTACAGATCATGAAAAACATATTTATCTTTTGGGGACTGGCTTATTTTACTAGCAGAATGGTATCCAATTTGATCCATTTAGTTGCAAAAAAATAAGACCCAATTTTTTTTATAACACACTGTGTGTGTGTGTGTATACACATCTCACATATACCACATTTTATTTATCTGATCATCAACTGATGGGCACCTGGGTTGACTCCATAGCCTAGCTATTGTGAATTGAACTGTTATAACCATAGGTAGAGGTTCAAATAGCTCATTCATATGTTGATTTTGTTTCATTTGGATAAATTCCCAGGTGTGGGATGACTGGGTCAGATGATAGATTTATTTTCAGATACCTAAGGAATCTCCATATTGTCTTCCATACTGGCTATACTGGTTTGTTTCTATCAATAGTGGATTAAGGTACCATTTACTCCACTTCCTTACCATCATTTATTGTTTTCCGATTTCTATATGATAGCCATTTTAACTGGAGTGAAGTGAAACATGATTGTGGTTTTTTTGCTTTTTGGTTTTGTTTAGTTTTCTCATTTTTGGATTTTGCTGATGGCTAGTAATCCTGATCTTGACAATTTTTTCATATGTCTGTTGGCAATTTGAATTTTATCCTTTTATAAATGCATGCTCTTGTCCTTTGCCCATTTCTTAACTGGAGTGTTTGGTTTGTTCTTTAGTTTCTTTAGGTCTTTTAAATCCTGGGTATTGATTCTTTATTAGTTATATAGTTTACAAATATTTTCTCCCAATCTGTTGGCTGTCTCTTCATTTTGTTGACATCTCCTTTGCAGGGCAGAAGCTTCTTAGGTTGATGTAATCTCATTAATTTATTTTCTCTTTACTTCCCCATGCTTTTGGGACCTTTTCCAAGAAATGTTTGCCTACGCCTATGTCATGCAAACTAGTTAATTTGATAGTATCAGGTCATAAAATTAGATCCTTCATCCACTTAAAGTTGATGTTTATATACGGTACAAGTCTATAATATCTTGGGAAAGGGAAGAAAAGTTTTTGACTCTTGTATAAAATGGTCATATTTTAAGTTTTTTTTGTTTCAAAAACCAGTGATCTATTTTCAGCTTGCCTACACTTGGTGAAATGTCATGGAGAATGAGACAAAAGTTGAGAACAAAATTAGAAAGGAGAAACTTATGCTTCTAATGTAGGAAATGTCTGAAGTATTCATATAAAGTAAATATATTTTTGTAACTTTTTAAAAGTGTATTTCTTTGGGTTCTGCAGCCCTCTGAGTTTGGGGCTGAAGTCAGGGTAGCAACATACTTGCCTCTGCCCTCACAACACCAAAAGCTGCCTGTACAGTCAAGGGTAATTTGGGTTCCAGGAAGAGCTCCTCCACAGCAACACCATAGACTGGAAAGCATTGTTGTTTCCCAGAAATAAAGGAAAAGAATTGCAACAGAAAAGACAAGTAGATGGTGTATAAAGTATCTTCATCTTGCTCTGGAGATCCACTACTTGGATGGGTTATTTCAAGAACCTGTCTTTCCTTTAACACCACCAGGCTTGTGACACTTCAGGTATTTATTCACATATGAAATGTATTGAAATCGTAGGAAATCAGATATTAGCCTTGTGGAATATACTTGCTGTTGAGTTCAAGTCTTGCTTCCTGCTCTTATTTCCTAAACAGACTGTGAAGTGTAAAGGACTTGGCTCTAGGGAGTTTGTCATTATTTGCTTTTGTCCTTCAAAGGAAAGAAGAAAATTAAAAAAAAAGGGGAGGGGGGAGGAGAGTAAAGAAAACTGATGATATAAACAATTCTTAAAACCCTAAAAGATCTTATTGCTTTGGAAACCTTGCCTCCATAGTGATTAATGACTAATTCCAAAAACTGTATTTTCATCCAAAAGATACTTAAGCTGGTAAAATGATTCAAATGTGAATTAACTATACACTAGGTTCTAAGAAAAATTTGGGTTAATACTATTTACTTATTTCTAAATATATCCTCTTTGCTCGTAGTTAATATTGCTTGATTTTTGCCATGTTATTTTCTTGTCTGTTTTCTCATAAATCAGGCTGAAGAATTACACCCTGGTTTCTCTCTGCCTAATTACATGTACTTGGCAAAGGTAATAAAGACCAACATTTTAAGATAACTTAGAATCCAACACAGAAAAATATGATTCCACATAATATTTGTTATTTTTTACTTCTAGTGCTATACTGATCTTAACCAAAATCAGAATGCATTGAAGTTCTGTGATTTGGCGTTATTGCTTCCTAGTGTTACAAAAGAGGTAAGTCCTAACAGTGACCACGCATGCTCTCATCTGCACCACTCCAGATTCCCGTACTAGCAACTGGCCTACATACATTCAGTTTTCTTTATAATAAAATTTTTAAATTCATTTTTTACCTTTTCCAGCTTTATTGATGTATAGTTGGCCAATAAAAGTTACATATACAATATATAAAGTGTTTACCCTCAAGCTTTTGACAAGTATGTGCATTATGAAATGGGTACCACAATCAAGTTAATTAACACATTTGTCACTACACATGCTCATCTTTTGTTGCTTGAGAATGCTTATATATACGGTCTTAGAAAACCTCAGTGTTCTATCCCATGTAATTAGCTCTAGCCACTTACTGCACATTAGATCTCCAGAACTTCCTCATCTGACAGCTTTGGCGAGCATCCTCCATATCCTCCACCCGCTAGTCCTTGGCAGCTACCCTTCACCCTTTGCTCCCATGATGGAGTTTTCTTTTATACTAAAATATTTTGAGTTGGATTTCTGCATATCCTGTGAAGTTTAAAATTTTGATATATCTGTAAGATATCCTGTCACCAGGAGAACCCTTGAATGTTCATGGCATGTACAAATCCTGTGCTAGCAGTTAAGATATCCTGATGCTTGTTAGGTGTAAGATAGCAGGCAATGGAACAAGCCTCTCTGAGAAGCAGGAGGAAGAGCGTAATTCTGAGGAGCCGGTGACTAAACAATGCAAGCAGCAAACCAGCTAGACGGGTTGCCCTGTTTAGAACAAGGTGAGTGTCCAAGTGGTTGCTCACCCAGCTCAAAGCAGGGTGTGACTTGCCAAGACCATGATTACAGACTAAAAGATTTAAAATATGTATTAACATTTTCTTGGTTTTGAGACAGCTGCCAAAGTTTTTTTTAAAAAAGGATGATTTTTGCCCATTTATTCAACAATTTGGGTTTCTGGATATTGGGCTTTGGAGTTTCTGTAAATTTTAGACATTCACACCATTAACTGTTCAGTCTGTACTCCCAGTATTGCAAGAACAAAAGGAAAAAGGCAATTATTTTCCTGCTCCCTTTCTATGCTGCCAAATGTTATCAACCTGTACATCTTAGCAGAAAGAAAGACTGTAGCAACAGCAGACAGCACATAGTCCAATTTCTGTTGTAGTCTGCAATATAAACAAATATGCTAGTCCATTGCTGTCTAGGGCTTTAAGAATGGCAGAAAGCATGATGTTGGAGTATATCCACAGGAGAGACATGAAAACTGAGACATAAAACTTTTAGTTACAGAAATTTGGAAGAAGGGGGAACTGTTTTCTCCAGTAAGAAATCAGGTGGCAAGAGAGGTGGACTTTGGAAGATCTCTACTCTGGAGGCATGAGCAAGCATGGGTCGTGGACAGAGGCAGAAGTAAAATAAGTTCTGCCACAGAACTTCAGATTCATGTGTCTCTTGTGAGGACTGGGCAGGCTTTTTTCTTTCTCTTCTAAACCACTTGAACAAGTTCTCAGGCTCTGAATATGTATCTTCTGGATGTTTTATTTCCAACGGGGGTTGTCTGTTTCTTGAACTTTGATCTCTCAGTTGTCTCCAGCAGCTAAAAGCAGGTGCAAAGCAGCACAGTCTCAGCAGTCTTCTCCAGAGGAAAGAGTTTTGTGTGACATTTTTTTTTTTCCAGCAAGAAACAGATTTTGTCCCTCTGATTGCTTAAGCCATGTTGTTAATAGGGACCAGATCATCTTTAATATCTCTCCTGAATGATGTCAGTTTGGATTGTGTGTGATGTTTTTAACATGAGGATCTGTGCATTCTTACTAGAATTAAGGTTAAAGTACAATATGATGATGAAAAAGAACATGCAATGATGTTACATGCACATGTTTAGGTATGAGATCTTGAACTGTCCAGGGGGGCTAAATATTTTTTTTTTTAATAAAATTTATTTTGACATTCTTTACATACTTAGTTAGAGTAAGAAGGTTCAAGGGCTACAGGAAAGTGGATAATACTAGTATGTTTTCCATATTGTTACCTTCATGTTTAAAAGGGGGGTATTAAGGGAGAAGGCCCACCCAATTTCCCACCCTCCCCAAGTCCCGGGTGTAGGGCATGCTCTGAGGTTCTTGCTCGAGTGGTTTTGATATTGCAACAGTTATGAATCGCTGTCAATCTTGCCACTCCAAGCACTATGAGGTCTTTGAAAAATCCACTGATTGACATAGTCCATCATAGCTGAGATGGTTGGTTGACCTGTTCTGTCTTCTCTCTTTTCTTCGTTAGGGTTCTGAGTCCAGCATTTAGATTAGGAAGATCTCCAAAGAAACTTCTTGTATGTGCTAACAAGTACAGGGCCAGGCACCGTCCATCGCTCCAATCAGCTGGTGGTTGTAATTGCTGGGTTGGTTCTGTTTTCACTCCCGACTTCCACTGGAACCAATGGGTGTTGCGGTCCAGTCTGGTTCTGCCCAGCACATATTTGGCCCTCACCTAAACCAGTGGGAGCTGCAGCCTAGTTGGAGCGACCCACAATAACCCCCACCAGGACCGCCCCTACCCTGGTTTGCCAGTAAGTGTAGCAGTAATCCAGTCTGTCCCACGCCCCATTCCACCCCAGCCACTGTTTAGTTTTATGTCCTCCCGTGGAAGTGGTAACCCAAGAGGGATGAGCCCACTATTACCCTCCCAGGCCTCTTCCACTCCCAGATTCCAGTTGATGCTGCCCAACCAAACCTCGCCCACTTTAATTCTGTTTGCACCAGTAGGAATAATCCGCCGAGCCCGGCTTTTCCCTGATCTAGTCCACATGAGGCACACAGGTGTGGTAGCTCTGCCTATCCTGGTCTGCCCCCATCCCAGCCCATGCTCTCCTGCGGAAGTAGCTATCCTGCAAAGGAACCCTCCCTTATTCCCCTGCTGGCTCTGCCTACTTCCTTTCTCGTTCTCAGGCTGGTTGGACGCTGCGGTCCCCTCCGGTACAGGCAACCTCACCTCGGCATTCCATATTGTGCACTAGTCTTTGTTGCGACCGAACCTGGGTCAACCCACACTGGTGCCTGGATTTGCCAGTGGATGACGTGGACAGATTCAGCCTGGTCTTGCCCCCACGTCTGCCAAGTGTATGCCAGTGGGTAGCTTTCCATGGCCTTTTCTGGGCTGTTTCCTATCATGTTTCTTGCGCTGACCTGTCGGGTCTGTGTCCTGCCAGAGGAGTTGCCCAGGCTCCTCCATCAGAACCTCTCCCAATGCCAGGTTACACGCTTACCAGTGGGTCCATGAGCCAACCCTACTCAGTCCACCTCCTGTCATAGCAGGAACCAGGGGGGCTAAATATTGAGCTTCCTCAGGGTTTAGTCTTTATCTGCAAGTATTTTGTCTTCTTCCCTTCTTTCTCTCCTCCCTTCCCTCAGACCTGTCCTCCATGGCTTCAGTTGGTAACTAGAAACCCTCAGATTTGCAGAAACCCTCAGATTTGCATCTCTTGATCTTCTTCTGAAAACAAGCCTTGATAAGCCAACTTCTTATGTGACATTCCTACTTGGGCATATCTCAGACGTCCAACTCTCAGTCCTAAATGTAATTAATGGTCTCCAGGGCTTGGCATCTCTGCTTCTTCCAACTTTCCATTTAGTAAATGCTTCCTATATCCATCTGACTGGGTGACCTGGACAATATGCTTCATGCTGCCTTCTCCCCCTGTCCCAATCCACACATACACCCAGTCACTAGGACTAAACATCAACTGCCACTCTCTTTTCTCCATTGCTGATCCTCAAGGCAGAGTATCCTCTGCTTTCATTGGGACATGGAGTTGTGAGAGCCTGCCGGCTGGTCTCACAGTCCCCTTGCCTCTTAATAGTAGTTAAAAGAAATGATAAACATAAATCCCAACATGTCACATTCTTGCCTAAAACCTTCTGCTATTAGGATGAAGTCCAAACATGTTAGCGTGTCCTTCAAAGCCGTGATCTCACTCTTACCTGTCTTCTGGGCTGCGTACGTCCCTCTCTCCCTCCTTTGTATCTGTTCCTCCCTGTCCTTTGTTGTCCCTACCTTCTGACACTCTCCCCACAACTCCTCCAATTTCTTACTTGGCTTTGTCCTTTCAATGCTTCAGGCCTTACTGTCAATGTTATTTCATGCAGAAAGACTTTCCCGATAGCCCCAGCAAGAAAGCCCTTCATACTTTTCCTTCATACCATTTAGCAAGGTTGTGTATGGTTATCTATGCTTGTTCCATGAAAGTAGCAAAGTGGTCTCTCTCATTTTCCATTCTATTCCTAGTGCTGGCTGTACCACCTAGCTTATAATACACACTCAAGAAAATTGATAGAAAGAATCAAAACATTAGTACCATGCAAATAAAAAGAATGGTGTGGACACAGCGTGGTAACCTAATAGCTAAAGTCCTCGCTTTGAACGCACCAGGATCCCATATATGCACTGGTTCTAATCCCAGCACCCCCGCTTCCATCCAGCCCCCTGCTTATGACCTGGGAAAGCAGTTGATGATGGCCTAAAGCCTGGGGCACTGCAACCATGGCAAACCTGGAAGAAGCTCCTGCCTCCTGGCTTCAGATCGGCTCAGCTGCGGCTATTGCAGTCACTTGGGGAGTGAATCATCAGATGGAAATCTTCCTCTGTCTCTGCTCCTCTCTATATATGTCTAACTTTGCAATAAAAATAAATAGATCTTAAAAAAAAATTAGAACCGGTGCCCGTATGGGATCTTGGCATGTTGAAGGCGAGGACTTTAGCTGCTAGGTCATGGCACTGGGCCCAAAATAAAATAAATCTTAAACAAACAAACAAAAAAAGGATGGTATGTCTAGTTATAGTGAATAGGACTCAAAATAAATACAACTAAGACATTTGGGCATTGTGCAAGTTTTCTGTAATCATGGAAGCAGCATGAGCAAATGTTGCCCCCAATATCTTGATTTTCAGAGGTATATATTCAATCACAGTTTTAAGTAGGTTGTTTGTTTAGTGGCGAAGGTATTCTGAGGACTATGTTTCCAGGAGAAAAATAGGATGGAGTGGTGGTGGGCAGTGCTTCCTGTTTCTGTGTGGCAGTGACCAGTGCGTTCATTTCCACAATGTCTGGCAGCACTAATCACACTGAAGACAACCTGGCCATCAGTCTTCTCACGCTCGTGTGAGTGCGTAGCATGTTTCCTTCTTTCATGTGGCTCTGGTCACTTCTGCTGCCTCGCTGGCACAGAAGGACCCATCTTCTGTGCCCTTCCAGGGACCTTTAGGCTCATCATTCTGTTCCTTGGTATTGGGAGTGTCAGCCTTGTGGTCTCTGGAGCCCAGAGTCAGGTATGTTCACAGATTTATTTTGCTGAGACTTGAAAGTACAGTCTTTTTAATTATTCATGTGGACTTTTCTTGGCCCTAGAAGACAATCTCAAGTCCTGGGAAACTCCCCCACCTTTTTTTTTTCTAAATAAAAAGAGTCCCTATGTTTTAGACAGTGTGAGAATGATTGCCGCATGAAATAATGACTGCATTGGCAACCTCAAAGTGGTTTGCCTGGAGGCAGTCGTCGAGTTCATTGACTTGGAGTCTACTGACAAAGTTCAAATAGCAAAAGCTTTATGTAATGCTTTGTTTTACACTGGGGATATACTAATATGCTCTTACTACCCTGTATTTTTAATTTAATATTTTGACATGACAATAGCCACATTTCTAGGACAAACAGACTCCCATAGGATAATGCAGACAATGTACCAGAATTGTCCAAAGGAAGTGGCCTCAGGGAGTCCTGGAAAGTCAATACTTCTTCATGTTCACCATGATTGTCTTTGGATGTACCTGTTGAGTGATGTCCTGAGATGTATTTCCATGTTGGATGTTCCTTGTGAATCATATCATTGCTCTCACGGGTAGCTACTCCAAGAAACAGAATCCTCATCCTGCTTTACATATTCTGTCCTACTTAATGCATTAAGTAAACTGCGCTTGTAATCTAAGAAGTAGATTAAGTAGGGCCCGACGCCGTGGCGCAGTGGTTAAGGTCCTCGCCTTAAACACGCCCGGGATCCCATATGGGCGCCGGTTCTAATCCTGGCAGCCCCGCTTCCCATCCAGCTCCGTGCCTGTGGCCCGGGAAAGCAGTCGAGGATGGCCCAAAGCTTTGGGACCCTGCACCCGCGTGGGAGACCAGGAAGAGGTTCCTGGCTTTGGATTGGCATAGCATCGGCCGTTGCACTCACTTGGGGAGTGAACCATCGGATAGAAGAGTTTCCTCTCTGTCTCTCCTTTCTGCATATCTGCCTTTCCAATAAAAATAAAATCTTTTAAAAAAAAAAGTAGATTAAGTAATTTAATACACTTGCTTTCAGATATATTTAGCACACATAATTTGATACAATTATGTAACATAGAGTCTGTAAAAAGTCTTCACCCTGCCTTCCTGTTGATCAGAAGGTTGTGGCTCAAAGGATTTCACTTCCTGAAATCCAGTAATGCTGTCTCATTTGTTAGAAATCCTTATTTGCCTCTTGTTTCTGGATTGAATTATATCTTGTGTGCACTGTCCATACCTGGAGAGTTTATTCTTCCTTATAAACTTTTAAAGAATATTAACAAGGCAGTTATAGGATGTCTTCCCTCTGTCTAAACATATTTTCATGAATTTTAGAAGTGGAGTGTTACTCTGTTTACAGCCTCTTATTTCTACTCAGTTGGCTCTTTTTGTTATTTACTCAAAATGTATTTTTTAAGGATGGACATTTTGCTCAGTGGTTATGATATTTCTTAGGATGCACACATCCGCATTGGAGTGGCTGAATTTGAGTCCTGGCTTCACTTCCTAGTCTAGCTTCTCAGTAATGTGCTCCTGGGGAAGCAGCAAGTGATGGTTTATGTGCTTGGGTTCCTGTCACCTGCATGGGAGACCTAGATGTTGAGTTCCTAGCATTGCCCTGGACTTGCCCAAGTGTTTGCTTTCTCTTGCTCCATCTCTCTCTTTGCATTTCAAATAAAATTAAAATAAGTAAATGCATTTTAAAATACATTATTTCTTGAGACTCCCAGTGTGTAATGTTTACTTTAAGTTGATCTTATACCCTAGATCTCCATTTTCTTACTTATTTATTAAAATAACTGATTTTACAACATCCATTTGAGATCAATCATTCTTAGGTGTTCTAAAGGAAACTAGGAATTGAAACCACTGGTTTAAACTTTTCCAACTTGCTTGAAGAGTGATAGCTTATTAAAATACAATTCATTGGTCATTTATAGAGAGAAGCAGCAGCTCTGAGCTCCAGAGTACCTCAGTATCCATGTGGGCTCTCTTGGGGAGTCCATCTATTTGGGTTATGCTTTTTTTGTGTGGCCCAATGTCCAGACTGTCCCTTGCTGAGAATATAGAGAAAGACAAATGGTGCCCGAGTTCTTGACAGTGCAATCCCAGAAAATGATGGTCTTCAAAGAGGTAACTGGGCTGTACACAAGAAGAGTGGCCTCTGCTGGCACTTCTTGAACAAATTTTTTACAAAGCTATTGGAGAACAGCAATACTCTGGTCTCCCTGGGAGCATTAGCTCTACTTCCCAGCTGATGAGGGAAAGACCTGTGGATGAAGGAAGATTTCCATAATAAAATCCATGCAGCAAAATCTTCAAAACCAGCCAAAGATCTGTAAGGACGGTCTACTTAGCATTGTTCAATTAATAAGTTTCATGAGGATGAACTGGTCTCTAACAATAGAAAAAACAGGGAATGAAATACAATCAAGCAGTTGACTTTTCATTTGAGGTTACACTATGTGCTCTCTCAGCTAAAATATTCAGATAGTTCACGTTTCTTCAAATCCTGCGGCTAGGGTTAAGACTTCTTCACTTACTATGATTGAAAAAGAAAAGACTAATGTTGATACCATGCTGGTGGAGTTACTGTGTCAGCTTACGTGCAAGACTTTCTTCTGCCGGAAGCACACACCTCCTGACCCATTGAAGGAAGAACCTAGCAACTGCTCCGCACATTATCCGTATTCTCATAGACTGGATCACGGCCTGCTCCAAGGAAGTCTGCAATTTCTTTGTAATGCTATTTCAAAAACTGCCTGTACTTTCACAAATGTGTCTTTCAAAGTATTTTTCACAGTATGTGTGAAGTTTAATTGTGTGTTTGTATTTTCTTTATAGGATCAGGCAGCACAGACAGAAGTGAAAAATATAATGACTTCCTTGAAGAGGTAAATAAAAGAACTTGCTCTTCAACAAATCAGATGTGGTCTACTAAAATTTAATCAGATGTGTGTTTTTATTTTCCTGTTATATCTTTATTTTGATGTAAGGGCAGTGTACTCAGAATTGAATTGAAGAAAACACCTTTCTGCAGAAAACATCAAATTAGTAACACTATAAAACCAATCATGTTATTTGGAGAATCTATTTGCTATGTCAGTCCAGAATCACCTATGAAAATGTATAATTTATACTTTTCCTATGAATATATTATAGACTTCAGAACATTTCTTTAAATAAAATGTTTAAATAAATCCACAAAATGAAACTCAGTGAGCATTTTATTTATTTGTGAAGATTTACATAAAGCAGTTTCAATAATGTAGCTGAAAACTAGAAAACATAAGCAATAAACATGAATAAATTATTGGTGGAAGAGAACAAAAAGAAGAAAACCAAATAGTGATGACAGTATGTGAATAATTGTCTCACAGTCACACTAGTGAGAACTTTTTTTCTTCTTTCAGGAAACATTCAGTGCTGCAATATTGCCTTGCAATGACAATGTTTTGGCTCAAACATTTGAGATATATTTAAAGAATTTAAAATGCACTGACTTTAATCTCATCATTTCATGTCAATGAAAAATCCTAAAAAAGAAAACCTTACCTATGATCATTCACAAATGTTCCTAACAGTATAACACAATGCCAAACAATGAGAAAGAGGTTAGCCACATTAAAGAATACAATGATACTAGAGTATTTTAACACTAAAAGTTATTACAGAACATCTTTAGTGTGAATGCAAAGGAAATTTACCTCAGCAGCCTGAAAATATGCCAGGAAAACATTTGGTAGAAAATACACTGAAATTAGAGTTACTTCCATTTCTTTGAAGCTGTTTTATTTTAATATTTCCCAATTATAATAAATGACGTTTTAAATGAGCTCAGTCAGCAGTGATGTACAAAGCTTGAATTTCCTGTTCAGTATCTCACATGCATGGACAGGCGTGAACAGGTGTGCACACACACATATACTCAATATTTCAAGCTTTGATCTATAGAGATCAGTTAATCAAACTGAGCCATTTCCCCCATCATGTCTTTTATAACGGCTAATTCACATACTAAGTCAGTCAAACTGGTCTTACCCACTTGACCTCTGACAGCTGCTCCAACACTGCAGCTACCAGCTAGAGCCACTTGGGTCTCCCCATGGGTCTGCGGAGCCCACAAGGCTATGCATGTTTCTCTCAGTCTCTGAAGAATCAGAAGAATGTGCAGATTGACACAAATGACGCCTCCTGGTTGTGAAAGATGCAGAACCAACTATGTTTTGGCCTTTGTGTAACAACTTGTCCCAGTAAGCACCACTCCAAAGACTTCCTCCAGGAACTATGAGCAGTATCAAAGAATACTCTGGTGGATGACAGGGGCTTAAGGATTCACAATTAGAGCATGCTAAAGGTTCAATAAATGTTTGTTTGTTGTAACAAAATTTTCTACTTAGTCTCTTCAATCAGTGTATCTTCAACAGACAAGTTGGCATCCACGGGTTGAACGATCAGTATAGTTATTTCTAATGAGGTCTTGATCCCCCCCCAAAATATAATATTTTTAATTCAGTGTCTAGAGTATTGGGATTTTCTGGCTTATTGGCAGTTTCTCAAATAGGGTATGGTTTTTAAAGATTTATTTATTTTTATTACAAAGTCATATATACAGAGAGGAGGAGAGACAGAGAGGAAGATCTTCTGTCTGATGATTCACTCCCCAAGTGAGCTGCAATGGACAGTACTGTGTCGATCCGAAGTCAGGAACCAGGGACCTCTTCCGGGTCTCCCACACGGGTGCAGGGTCCCAAAGTATTGGGCCATCCTCGACTGTTTTCCCAGGCCACAAGCAGGGAGCTGGATGGGAAGTGGAGCTGCCAGGATTAGAACCGGCACCCATATGGGATCTCAGCGCGTTCAAGGTGAGGACTTTAGCCGCTAGGCCACGCCGCCGGGCCCTCAAATAGGGTATTAAGATAAGTAACTGCCCAACCCTTCATAATACCCCTCTAAATAATCAGGACAGCCTCATTACACGCTCAGCCATACCTTGTTACACTGCAGTTCTCACCAAATCATATAGTCAATGACAGCTAAAAGTTTGCGAATCAACTTTTTCTTGAAGGATGGTGTTATATATGGAATATTACACTTATCCCAGGGAATTTCACACAAAGTGAACCATTAGGACCTTACTAATGTTCTTCGGTTATTTCACTTGCTACTCAGGCTACTTGACCTTGCAGAAGACAGAATAGCTGCAGACTGTTCCTGAAAGGCGACCTTGTCCTGCTGGCTCACTAAGACCAACCTCATGGCCTCGAAGATGAAGTCCACAGCCTGCTAACATCTCTAGAGGTTTCATGTGTGAGATCATCACAAAGTTCATGGAAAATAGATACGGAAAAAAAACTATGCATAGATTTCAAAATATTTTTCACCAGAAATAAACTCATACTAACTTATTAGAACATATCTGAACAGAATCTAGTTTCAGTAACTAAGAAGGAAAAGAGATGAATTTGAAAAGAGCCGCTGGGTTGGGTGTTTGACCTAGTGGTTAAGCTGCCACATCCCATATTGCAGAACCTAGGTCTTAATCCTGGCTCCATTCATGAATCTAGCTTCCTGCTATTGTGCAGCATGATAAACAGCAAGCAATGGTTCCAGTGATTGAATTCCTGCCATCCACGTGGGAGAACAGACTTGAATTCCCATCTTCTAGCTTTGACCTGGTATTAGCCTCAGCAATTACAGACATTTAAGGAGTGAACCAGTTCATATCCTGACTGCTCCCCTTCCCATGGTGGCCCAAAGCCTCAGGACCCTGCACCAGTGCAGGAGACCTGGAAGTAGCTCCTGGCTTCTGACTTTGGATCGGCTCAGCTCCATCCTTTACAACCACTTGGAAAGTGAACCAGCAGAACGAAGATCTTTCTCTCTGTATCTCCTCTCTGTAGATCTACCTTTCCTTTAATAAATAAAGTGAATGGTTAAAATATATAAATTAGATATTAGATAACTGTACTGGCTTAGCCAGAGCTAAGTTTTGAACTCTCATGTCTTCTGCACCCTTCTTTGGTCTTAGGGCTCTATACGGTTATTTGGAATTCACTGTGCCTGGCACAGAAAGGAGGCTCTGAGACTGTTAAGTTACACAGTGTAGACTTATATTACAAGTGCTTTTCCTAAAAAGGTTTTTCCTAAAAAAATTTTTCCTAAAAAAGTTTTTTTTCCTAAAAAAGTTTCATAAATATATAGAGTGAAAAATCTATGCATAAAGCCTAATTTTTTTTTTACCAAAATAAACCTTTCTTTTAACTCCTTTGTCTACGAACGTTATGAAATACTCTCATTTTTTTAAAGATTTATTTGTTTTTATTTGAAAGGCAGACAGAGAGGAGAAAAGACAGCAAGGAAGATCTTTCTTCCGAAGATTCACTCCCCAAGGGCCATGCCGGTCGGAGCTGAGCCAATCTGAAGCCAGGAGCCAGCAGCTTCTTCCAGGTCTCCCATGTGGGTGCAGGGTCCCAAGGCTTTGGGCCGTCCTTGACTGCTTTCTCAGGCCACAAGCAGGGAGCTGGATGGGAAGTGGGGCTGCCAGGTTTAGAACCTGTCGGGCCCTCTCCTATTTTTAAAGATCATTTACCTTAAGTTGGTTGGTAGCTTCATTTAATTCTTCTCCCTGCTTTAGGTCTTCCTCTAATTCTCAGCTTTGTCCCTTTAATTCAGGGAGCTTGCCGGGCTCCTCTTTGCTTCTGCCTTGTCAGTTTTGCAGAGGAAGCTGAGAAAGCATAAAGTTCATCTGGTCTGTTGCACATCTCCTGGGGATACCTAGCCCCTCCTTTGCTGCTGCCCAATATCTTGAAAGCTGTTGCATTTTGTCCATGTTTTGTATTTTCAGAGAGAAATTATAACCTTGAAAGGTAACTCTGTAGCATTGTAGATATGTATCTTTAAAAAAAAAATCTACTCCTCGCTGTATTATCCAGTCATTTAAACCACTTTTGTAGGCAGGAAATACTAAAAGTAGTGGATTCCTTTTTTTAAACAAGTTTTTACAATGTATATACTATGTAAAATAGAGCAACTTAAGCCAACTGTACTATGAAATCGCTTATGAAGTTGGGATTTGGTTAGATCTCTAAGATAAATTATTGTTCGTTTTAAAATAGAATACTTGTGCTTTGGCAAACAAGGTTTACATGTGAATAGTGGAAGTATACTTTGCCTCCCACTTGAACACGTTTTACACATCCCAACTAATTTAAGACTGGGAAACCTAATTGGGATAGTAAAATCTGCAAAAAAATGATCTGTGAGAATGGCATTACAAACTATGAATGCCACTCAAGTGTGGCTCTAGCAGAGGCCTTGTTGGGCAGTTACTTCAGCCAGACAGCACGGCCCCACCCCATGGGATGTAGAAGTCATCTCAAGCCCAGCACAGACCATCCTAATTTTTTCAAAGATCGCAGGCATGTACACAGTGATATTCTAGCCAAACCACTAATTCCATTATTTATTTTGACTCTGTAACCATTTTTATTTCTCTTGTGTTCTTCAATGCTAGGGACTCAGTGTGTGCTTCAGTTGTAAATAACCAAACATGGATTGAGCAATGTTGTGGGGCCCTCCGGAGGCTTGTCCAAATTTCACACAGGCTTGACATTTACACAGTCTGTGGCTGGTAAGGTGGTAACAGACATTGGTACCCCATATGGGTGCCAGTTTGAATCTCAGCTGCTTAACCTCCAATCCAGCTCCCTACTCATAGGAAATCAACAGAGGCTGGTCCAGGTCTTTGGAACCCTGGACCACGTAAAGACCCAGAATTAGCTCCTGGCTGCTGGCTTCAGATTGGCCCAGCTACGGCCATGACAGTCATTTGGGGAGTGAAACAGCGGATGGAAGATATTTCTCTCCCACCTTCTCTCTCTCTGAAACTGTTTTTCCAATAAAAATGAACTTATAAAAATAAAGTTCTTTCTGCCTTCAGATACGATGTGAAGGGAGAAAGCAGAGGAAGAAAAGCAAGTAGGGGAGAATGGAAGGGAGGGAGAAGGAACAAAAATGAGGATGAGGCAGGAGGCAATGCAAGGCCAAGCCTTAGACTTATTAAATCTAATATCTCAGTGGAACCTTTTTACTCACTGCAGCAGTTTAAGAAAATGATACCATTCTCATTTAACCAGTGAGAAAAATGGAGCTTTTCGCTGTGCTAAACGTCACCTACTCAGTTGATGGCAGGAGAGTATCCCCATGT